CCATTCATTTTGACGGGGCAAAAAAAAATTTGAACTTCCGAACCAAAATAATTTGAACTTCCGAACCAAACCTGCACAGCCGTCGATCCCAACGAAGCTATCTGAATTCTATCTAGCTAGAACAAGACTGAGCGACAAGAAAGAGAAAAACAGCGAGCGATCTTCAAGTCATGGAATGGTGGGTCCAGCAGCATGAATTCATGGAGGTGGTGTCCTCGGAGGCGCCGAGCAGCTGCTCCAGGTACTCCGTACCAAGGTCCTCAAGCTCCATCACCATGCCCTCTGGCTGCGCCCCCCGGGTGGCGGCCTTCGACTTCCTGCCTGTCGTCACGGCCTTCCGGCTACGCATGGAGTGCCGCCGCTTGAGCGCCAGCACGGGCGACACGCTATGGGCACGACCGCACACGTCGTCTGCTACGCCCTCAAGCGAACGCCGGACATGGTCGGCGGAGAAGTTCAGCACGGCGGCGCCGCCGCGGATGGCGAAGGCAGCTTCGTCGTACGCCAGCGCCGCAGCTTCCGGGCTGTCGAAGGTGCCCAGCCACACCCGCACGCCGTTCCGCGTCGAGTCACGGATCTCGGCTGCGTACTTGCCCCACGGCCGCTTGCGCACCCCGCGGAACGCGCGCCCGACGTCCACGGCCGCCTTGTCTTCCTCTTGGCTGGCCTCCCGCTTCACCGGCGCAATCGTGGGTGCGGCCGCGGCATGCTGGACGTGGTGGTACTGGGAGATCATATCGAGCAGGAGCATCTCGTCGGCGCCGTTGGTGTCGAACGGGAGCACCGGCGGCATGGCCGGGGCGCGGAGTCCGCGGAGCCGGTGGAGGAGGCAGGCGAGTGCAGCGGGAATTCTTCCGCTGCTGCTCGGTGGTGGTTTTGCTGTGTGGTCATTTAGCGGCGGGCCAGGAAGTTGCCGACGCCGGTGGTTAGCCAGCCGGGGCGACGTAGATGTACAAGACGGAGAAGAAGGGGCCGTGCTACTGGGATCCGAGATGGACTTGGAGGTTGGAACGGATGGAATTTATACCGGTGGTGCCAAGTTCGTTGAGCAGAGATGAGAACGATGCAGGGGAGGGTAGAGTTGGAATTATTGGAAAAATGCTCTGCTTCCCTGTCACTTCCTTTGTTTAAGTGCTGGGGCACATTTGTTTTGAAGAGTAAAATTTAAAATGTATATTAAAGTAATTCCAAAATATTTGAATTATGTTTGCAGTGGGCATGTTAGAGTATTCTACATGCCTGCATTTTTCATGCAGAAATGACATTCGTGGTGCTATGAACTGAAAAACAAAGTCGGTGCTCTACACAAAATGCAATTTTTGAACATTAATTTTAATATATTTTTCCCAAAAAAAATATATTTTATCTAATCAAAAGCAGTCATTGCTTCAGAAAAAAATGAACGTAAATAGAACACTTAAAGCAATAGTGCTGCAGGTGAAAAAAGAAAATTAGTTTTTTTTTTGTGTTTTCAAATTTACCGTTTATCCCGTACATTCGAGATGGGAAGCAATAGAGCGTATTAGGATATGTGAACGATCATGGGGAATTCATACCAACTAGAAAGTGATGCGTGCCTTGCTGCGCCGTTTTTCATTATTATTGTAAAACCAATTCTATCTTTTTCTTTTGTTATGTGTCATTAATAGGCAGAAACATGTATGTAGAACTCTAGACACTTTTCCTTTCTTTATGGTCAAGTTCAAGGCAAAGTCGCCAGCACCGAATGGTGCCTAGCACACATGACACATACTCCCTCCATCCTGTAATATAAGGGCTAGTGTCAGTGGGCGCCTCAAACCCTGCCCCGGTAAAAAAAAAAAGCGACCCTAACGGGCAGTATGGACCGATGAAGCTTGAGATGAAATTATTCAAAAAAGAGCTGAGTAGCCATTAATGCATATTTTGTGTGGGATACAGGGGCTGTTTGGTTAGTTTCCATGTCCGCCCTGCCAAATCCTGGGCGCTATTGGCACGCCAAAATATTGGCGAGGGATTCAGCCGCCCGCGTTTCTGCCAACGATTTGGCTCAAGAGCAGCGGGATGGAGCTGAGGCGGGCCGGCGCACCAAAATTTTGGAGGCGATCCAAGCGGCCAGCCGAAGCCTGGTCAACGACCAATGTTTTGGCTGGGCAGCTCAAGGCTCCAAACCAAACAGCCTCACAATCTATGACAATGAATCATCTCTACAAATATAAGCAAAGAAGATCCATTGTCACAATCATATCTTTCATAAAGTGTGCAATGATGGCTCAAGCTTGCATCATTTACACGGCACAACTATTTAAGCAGGCCGCATCCCACCTCTGGCGCGCGAGGTGGGACTAAACTTACTACTACAAGCTTGTTGTTGGCAGGTTGGCCGCGAAAGAGTCATCTTGTGCCAAGTTCTTTTTGTTGGGAACTCGGCAAAGTAGTGACAATTGGAGTCTTTACCTAGTTTCACCTGCATGAAACTCATCATATATGTGTGTTTTTTTTGTTAAAATCAAAAATCTATGACCCACTCTGGTCAATTTGTATTGGGGTAAGTGAAGTTCAATGCATTCAGGTGATGCATGATGGCTTCAGCTGCTTCTCTCCTACTCTTCCACCCTCTTGACCATCTTTAACTACCTACTCGTCGTTAGCTACAACAATTGCCTCTATGAAGTTCACCGGCTCAGGCGAACTTTTGTCATTCTCATCATTGACGTACTAGCCGAATATGTCTTCCTTCGTCAGGATTCGTATGTATGAAGCTGATATCATAGCCGTGAGCTAAGTGTTGATATGCGCGCTGCATGCAATTGAGGTCCCAGTGTGATAACGACCGAACCTCGTGGTGAGATCCGATCGGTTGTTGCGGTCCGATCTTTCACGACACTCCACCACCACCAGTAGCAACCTCTCGCCCGCGCACGCGATGTACACGAAGTAGAGGGTTTGAACCTTGCGGCCCAGCACGAGAAAACCAATCTCGACGAAGGTACTCACGCGCAACACAATTTCCACGAAGAGAAAATCGCAACATAGAGGTTTTCTAAAGATCCCTCTAAAACTTGATACGGGTATCTACCCTGAAAAACACATCGTGTCTATTTCAAATAAAAATAACCTGTTTTACATGGCGCACATATATGACCTTATATAGTGGTCGACCAATCTAACTTGCGTGGCAAACTCAACCCATCTATCTTGACCTCTACTAATTTAAACAACTTCTGCCTTTTACATCTCAGCAGATATATCAAATTTAATAAACTGACTAAAACTTGCCTGAATAATCTACTAGGACTCTACCTTGGTAACAACATGGTCGTATACGCTGTTGGTGGCCCCCAGCCAACAGCCTTCAAGGAGAGTTTACGACATGCACAACTTCCTTTGCTCGTACGTTTCTTGAAAGGTAAAAATATGAACAAAAATATTGTGACCAGCCCCCGTCGTCTGAACCATATGCGTGCAGCAAACACATCCTCCACTTTAATTAATTGGTCCCCAGAGTAATAGTATCTCCATCCTCCATGCATGTACGTGAAAAATCTAACTTCCTCACAAGGACCAGTACTCGTTTGTTTATCTGCTAAAATAAATGTCTCTAGCCTGGTTTGACTCTCACGCCTTGTATTTTGCACAATACCAACTGACTCTGGTTCAACCTTAATATTCTCCTCACTAGGATGCATCATATTATCAAGCCGAGCTGCCATAACTTGACCTAGACCAGCGTCTTGTACATCGTGGTGGTCGTCGGTACAAACAACTTTAGCGTTGGTCATATCACAGTGGGTGCCGCAAACCCCGCTGAAACAATCGGGCCGACGGGACGGTAAAAAGCATAGAGCAACAACAAAACTGGAAAAATAAAAATATTAAACAAATAATTTCAAATTAAAAATCTCTTTTATTGGGCTATCAACATATTGAATGAGACACACTCGATGGACAATAATCGATTGATGAAATGCCATCTGGTGTCAAGTTGTCTCATTCACATAGGGAGAATTGATTAACCTAATTCAACAAGAGATAACCTAATTCTCACCGCTGAGTAGGATATCAGATCAAACTCGGCAGAAAGAAGTTCGCCGTGTTCCTGATAGAATGAACACGGGACAAAACCAGATTCTAGTAGTAGTGATACTACGTTTTGATAGTTCAATATGTCATATATTTAGGAATGGAGGGAGTAATATCGGAGAGTGACGTTTTGGCTCCTAGGTGCATATGCACCCATTGTCGAAATCCAAATTCCTAGAAGTTGAAAAATTCGGAACAAAAATCCCGCGTGTATATCCGGACATTTTATGTGCGTTCACAAGGTTTCGGTGAAAAACGACGTTTTTTGTGGCTTGTGTAAAAAAGACAATTTCTGATGCTTCATTCTAACTATTCACGAGGCATTTCTTTATCTTTTTTACACAAGCCATAAAAAACGTCGTTTTTCACTGAAACCTTGTGAACGCACATAAAATGTCCGGATATACACGCAGGATTTTTGTTTCGAATTTTTTAACTTCTCGGAATTTGGATTTAGACAATGGGTGCATATGCACCTAGGAGCCAAAGGCAATTACCGGTAATATCGTAGCTAGAGTAGTGTATGCATAAGGAGTTACATGTATAATTGGTTTGCTTTGAGCTGATGAATAATGCTGATCGTCAGCTGAATGCAGAGTTTTTTTTTTCCTTTTTTCTTTTGCGCGTTCGTTCAGCTGCAGAGTTGACTGACTTGGAAAGACCACTGGTGGCTGGGAGTCAAGCTTCCTCACTCTCACTCCTCTCCTCTGCTCCCCCGCCGCCGCCACCTCGCTCGCTCTCCTCCTCCGCCGCCGTCTCCTCCCAAACGCCCACCACATCACTGGACCACGAAATCTTGCGAATCGAGCCGCCCACCACATCCATTGCTCGATCCTCCTCTTCCTCGATCCGCTTTTGCTCCACTCACAGTCCCAGCACCAAGACGGATTTTACATAGATGCAGTGGTGAGCTAGGGGCACAGCATTGCCATCAGTCCATGGCGGTGGTGAGCGCCGCGCACGGCGCCTTTGGGCCCCTGCTCGGGAAGCTCACGGCCTTGCTCGCCGACGAGTGCGGCCGGCTGAAAGGGGTCCGCCGCGAGATCCGCTCCCTCAGATCCGAGCTCGCCAGCATGCACGCCGCGCTCAAGGAGTACACCAAGCTGGACGACCCCAACCACCAGGTCAAGGCCTGGATCTCGCTGGTCAGGGAGCTGGCCTACGACACCGAGGACGTCTTCGACAAGTTCATCCACCACCTCGGCGACAGCCAAGACCATGGCGGATTCAAGGACTTGTTCCGCAAGACCGTTCGCCGTCTCAAGACACTTGGAGCCAGGCACGGAATCGCCGGCGAGATCCACGACCTCAAGGACCGCATCAGGCAGGTGAAAGAGCTCAAGGATTGTTACAAGCTGCTGAATGATGCTCCTTCGAGCACCGCCGGCCCTCCAGCCGTGGATCCGCGGCTGCACGCACTTTTTGCCGATGAGGCACACCTTGTGGGCGTCGACGGTCCAAGAGACCATCTTGCCAAGTGGATGTTGGAAGAAGCAAACACATCGCCCAAACATTGCAAGGTCTTGTCTATTGTTGGGTTTGGTGGTTTGGGCAAAACAACGCTGGCAAATGAGGTTTGCCGCAAGATTCAAGGGAAGTTTGATTGCAAGGCTTTCGTGTCGGTCTCGCAAAAACCAGATATAAAGAAGATTATCAAGGATGTGATCTCTCAAGTGTCATGCCAAGGTGGATCCACAAAAGATACCAGTGATTGGGATGAAATGAAGTATATTTCAGAGCTAAGAGTACTACTACAAAATAAAAGGTAACCTCGACCCTTATTATTCCCGTTGAAGGATGTGCCTGCCATCCATGCTTCTCAATATTTCATCCACTTATCTGGGATCCAGTAAATGCACAATATTATTTCCCGTTTGTGATCCGGTAACTAGAATTGACATCATCTACTAATTTTGTAGGTATCTCATCATCATCGATGATGTATGGTCTACGCAAGCATGGCAAGCTATCAAGTGTGCTTTTCCAGAGAATAATTGTTCTAGCAGAATTATAGCTACTACACGCATCATTGAAGTAGCAAAGTCATGTTGTCCAGACGATGATGACCGTGTGTATCAATTGGAAGCCCTAAGTGATCTCCACTCCAGAAGATTGTTTTTCAAAAGATTATTTGGCTCTGAGGAACATTGCCCTGACATGTTGAAGGAAGTTTCTAATAAAATCCTAAAGAAATGTGGAGGCCTACCATTGGCAATTATCAGCATATCTGGTTTGCTAGCAAACCGACCAGCCATCAAGGAAGAATGGGAGAAGGTTAAGAGGTCAATTGGTACTGCACTGGAGAAAACTAACAGTCTAGAGGGCATGAGTAGCATACTATCTCTTAGCTACAATGATCTTGCACCTCGTCTCAAGACTTGCTTGCTGTACCTAAGTTTGTTTCCCGAAGACCATGTGATTGACAGAGATAGGCTAGTGAGGCGATGGATCGCAGAAGGCTTCATCTCTGAATATCGTGGACAGAGCAAGCAAGAGGTTGCGGAGACTTACTTCTATGAGCTGATCAATAAAAGCATGGTCCAACCGGTGGGCATTTGGTATGATGGAAAGGTCCATGCCTGTCGAGTCCATGATATGATGCTCGAAATTATTATTTCAAAATCAGCTGAAGATAATTTTACCACTGTGGTAGGTGGCGGTCAAACTAGTTTGGCCAATCATCAAGGTTCAATTCGGCGGCTATCAATCCAGCACATTGACAAGAAACTTGCATCTGAACTGGCAAATGTAGATCTAAGCCATGTTCGAACTTTGATAGTAATGCCATCATGTTGCGTCACACACTTGCCCAGCCTTGATCGGTTTGAAGCTTTACGTGTTCTGGATTTTGAAGGTTGTGGGGATTTAAAGGACTATGATATGAAAGGAATGGAAAAATTATTCCAGCTAAAGTACCTCAGCTTTAGGGGCACAGGTATATCAAAGCTGCCATCAGGGATCGTCATGCTAGGTAATCTAGAGACACTAGATCTTAGGAATACACATGTGCGTGAGTTGCCTGCTGGAATTACTCGGCTCACTACACTACAACACCTAATTGGATATCTGAACAAGCTACCAAACGGGATTGGGGGCATGAGGAATTTACAGGAGATGCCAATATTTGTTATTATCTCGCAAGAAACAGATGTGTTGGAGGATCTCCGGAACCTGACAAGTTTGGAGGAACTCTATGTGGATCTTGGTGATGAAGTCTCTTGCGAGGACAAGAGATGTGAACAAGAGGCGTTCCTCTCCTCACTGTGCAAGCTTGGCACCTGCAAACTCTGTGATTTGGAAATACGAGCATACCGTGGTTCCCTCGACTTCTTAGATTCCTGGTCGCCTCTGCCATCTTCTCTTCAAAGGTTTTCGGCGACCAGCCCCGATTCGTTGACAAATGTTCCAAAGTGGATTACACCAGCACTCACCAACCTTGCCAACCTGAGCATCAGCTTAACTGAACTGACGGAAGATGGGCTGCTTGCTCTTAGGAAGCTCCCATCCTTACTTCGCCTGACACTACGGCCATCAAAGAAGTTTTTTGGCACAGTCCAAGCCACTTCTTTCCCAAACCTGAAGGTGCTTTACTTTGGAAAACCTGAACAATTATATGTTTCGTTCGTGAAAGAGTCTGCACCCAAGCTTGAGGAACTTATCAACATGCCATTCAGTGTGTCGGCTGCAAAAGCTGATAAATTCTATTTAGGCATACATCATCTCCCATGTCTCAAATTAGCTCACATAGTGCTTGATAAGAAAGAGGCGACACGGTCAGAATGCAAGGCTGCTGCTGCTGCGATCAGGAAAGAAGCAGGTCCAATTCCAACCACCCTGCAGTTTATTTTGAGGGGGAACCAGCGGAAGAGACTGGTGGTATCGCTGATGAGGATTAAAGTGCTCACAGCCTGCAAGAGGTACCAATACATATTCTAATCATCTGCCCATTCTTTTTTAGAATATCGTCCCATTTTAATTCTCTCCACCGAAATACAGTACATCTATATATATCCCAACCCAAGCTGCTTCTGGTTTCCTCAAATTCACATGTTTTACTCTTCTCCTTTTGCCGATCCAGGATATGTTGTGCGGCTGGATTGCTTGGTTGCAGTGTCACAGCGAAGAAGATATGTTGTGCGGCTAGTTAATATTCATTGCACTTTCAATCTCAACTTAATCAGAAACAGAAAAGCCTCCTGGAAAAAGTATTCTCGAGTCTCAACTGAAGTTGCTACATGCACTCTGTTTGACTGCTTCTGTCCCTTACTTTGAGGATTCAGAATTAAGCTCTGTTTTTGCCTCCGTCTGCCAGAACTTGGAGTCTGAAAGCATTCGGCTCTATTAAATTCAGGGTATTTTTATTGTCTGAATATTTGATTTGTGTTTTCCTATGATGCATGGAAATTTGTAATCTCTGTCGGATTAAGGATTATTTACCTGTGTGGGTTCTGCTTTACATATATGAAAATGATGCTTGGTTTCCCTTGTTCCAAATGCAAATCTTTTGAATGATCCTACTGTGATCGTGTTCACTTGTGCTGGAACAGTTTGCTACAAAAGCATGGATGCTGCTGCCGCATATATACAACAACTGAAACTGAAGATGGAGTACCATTTTGGCTGCTACAAAAGCACGGATGCTGCTCCAAAACGCAAGCAGGCGCCGCCGATAACTGGTTGATGGCCGTCCCCGGCGGTTATGCTCCCTCACCTTGCCGACCTGTGCATCAGCTTAACTGAACTGACACAAGATGCTCGCCTGAAACTAACGGCCATTAAAGGAGTTTGTTGGTACAGTCCAAGGCATTTCTTTCCCAAATCTCAAGGTTTTGGAGTTGGGATTTAAGATGGAAGGAGCATAGATTACGTTCGTGAAATGGTCGGCGCCCAGGATTGTCGAACTTACCATGCCATTTAGTGTGTCGGCGGCAAAAGCTGATGGCTTCTATTCAGGCATTTGCATTCAGGGTCATTTTTATGTTTGTTCCTCTAAAAAAGAAGTTATGTTGAATTACTGTGCCGTGAACATGGCAGATCCACCATGGAACTCAATCGTGTATCTGCAATGTGTTATTATTCGTCAGTTTTTGTTCTAACAAAAGCGCGCTGTGAATGATGCTCTTGACGTTTTCAGGTGAAGTATCATGGAACGAATTTTGATGTGCTCCAAGTTGAATGACCCCATCTCCGTGTGTATGTACGTACTTGTATCGGAATAATTAAGTTGGATGATAGTATGAAAGAAGGTGCTGCATGGCTTTCCCTTATTCCATTGTGTTGATGGATCTCCAGAATGATACTATTGTAGTGTGATCAGTTGTATTTGTGCTGAAACAGTTGGATACAAAAGCATGCATGCTGGCTGGTGCTGCATATATACCGTAACTGAAGATGAAACGGAATTACCCATCTTACTCTGCTTTACTACTCTGCTTCCTCTGCTTTCTCGCGTTGCTTCCTAGTTACTCCCTCCGTAAACTAATATAAGAGCGTTTAGATCACTAATATTAGTTTACGGAGGGAGTACTAGTATATGCTTTCGTAGCTGACATGATGAATTGTGTTGTTCCCTATGCTGTACTTGGAACTAAAATATAATCTACTAGTTCTAGCGACAGTGCTGCTCTCACGGGCAGATAGATGAAAAAGCATGGTCAACTAGCTATGTAGCCCAATTGTACAACAGCCGCATACACCTTATCCGATCCCTCAAACATCCACAAATATGGCGAATCTAGCAATGGGGCATCATAAGGAACGTGTAGATACAAAATGTTGATTTTGAGGAACTTGCAACAGGACTGATTTCCCATTCCTTCTTGCTGGATATGTCTTGACCCCATACCTGGAAATAGTGAAAGTCTGATCAAAGTAAAAATTGCTTGCAACCATTAGCAAGCCCTAGGGCGAAAGCAACACAAGTAGCATGCCACATTTTCTGCAAATTAAACATATCACATGCTTATCTGACATACAGGTTAATTCGGATGCATACATAAACCAAATGATGTAGTATTACATAGCAACTACCGTGGTACAGAAGAAGACAAACCTATTTATTTATCGCCTATAGCTCTTCTAGAATATGGTTAATGAAATTCGCCTAAAGATCCATTTGTCTGCCATGAAAAACAACATCTGACATATAAGGTTATAAACAATAGAATTTTGCTCGATACCTTCGATAGACACGCAAACTCCACCCCTAAAACAGAAGTTGTTCGACATAAAAGATGAGCATATGGAATGTTTGACAGTTCAGTAGCAATAACAATTGATTAAGCCAACGATGCTACTTTTCTGGAGTTTTCACTTAGTCAACCACCAATAGTCAGTCCCAGAAGCAACATCATCCAAGACACCATACATTTCAAAACCCGTGGCAAAATTATGAAGCATGCACCTGAAGAAAGGATAGAAGAAATTCATTAACCAGAGAAGGGAAAAGATGACAAATATTCTTTTTGAACTGAACAGATGGTGTGTTGACAGGAATGGGGAGATGACTTTCCAGATGTAGGGGACACAATAGAACTCATCAGAATTCATCCATAGTGGTTTCTGGAACTGATCAGCATACATACAGATCAAGAAAAATCATTCAGTCAACAGGAAGAGAATGTAACCAACAGAGAATCCGAACATGCTTGTTTCAAAAGAGCGTAGAGTGTAATCCTACAACACGATGCTGCACACAAGTATTTACAAACGTATATCAAATGCTGGACCAATTTCACATTTTACAAGTGGAAAGGATGGAATGTCATCTTGTTACAAAAGTTGTATATCAAATATGTATGGGCCAATTTCACAATGATGCACTCAGGATGCATTGCATAATGGCATGGCAGGTCTTTCAACTATTTCATATAGGGGAACAAGGAAGTAAAATAAATAGGCCAACTGGTATATATATGGTGATTTTCAAAGCAAATTGTAAAACATGAGCATTAGTACTCCCTCCGTCCGAAAATACTTGTCCTAGAAATGATTGTATCTAGACTTATTTTAGTTATAGATACATCCATTTTATCAATTTGTAGGACAACTATTTCCGGACGGAGGGAGTATTTCTTAAGAAGGGGAGTCTTGGCGCAGTGGTAAAGCTGCTGCCTTGTGACCAAGAGGTCACGGGTTCAAGTCCTAAAAACAGCCTCTTACAGAAATGTAGAAAAATGCTGCGTACTATAGACCCAAAGTGGTCGGACCCTGCGCAAGCGGGATCTACATGCACCGGGCTGCCTTTTTTTTTAGGGAGTATTTCTTAGGAAGCAGCACGGAAATTCAGTGGATCTTTTCACACCATTGAACAACATTCACGACTTTCATCTTTGATCCATGTTTCAGGTGGGCAAAACAGCAAACAGCTGGGGGCACGGGCAAGGGACCTCACCTTGGGCGCTAGTTCATGGAACGGGTTGCCGAACACGTCGTTGGCGTCCTCCAACCCTTGGACATGCCCCGGCACCGCGTCCACCAACTTCCGTCCACCAACTTCTCCACCTTAGGCTGTCATTCAGCGGCGGCCACGAATGACAGCCTAAACCATCATCACATCAAAAGGTTCAATGAAGCGACCTGGAGATGAGATTGCGCGCGTCACAGCTTGGAGACGCCTTGAGACGACATCCTTCTAAACTCGTGTACATATTTGTAATCGTAAACATTTTTCAAATCGGTGAACACTTTCAATTTTTTTGAGCATTTACTAAATCAAGAATTTTTTTAATTCACGAATATTTTATACTGTTTGCACACAAGTTTTTAAAATTGTGAACATTTTTTAAACGATTTTATTGAATCGGCGAACATTTCTACAATTTACGAATATTTTTTTTGGAAATTGGTGGAACAATTTTTAAAATTAACGAACATTGTTTTGATTTAACACTCTTTTTTGAAATACATGATCATTTTCTGAATCAACGACATTTTATGAATGAATAAACTATTTCGTAACTCACAAACTGTTTTCGAATTATTAAGATATTTTCCATTCATCAACTTTTTTTGAATTGGTGAAATTTTGTTTGATTTTATTAACATTTTTTAATAAATGAACCTTTTAGATATTCATGAACATTTTTTGATTTCCCAAATATTATTTTTCAAAACTTTGAACATTTCTAGAGTAAGCAAACATTGTTTACAAAATTGTGAACATTTTTGAATCCACAAACATTTTATGATTTATTAAACATTTCATTTCAAAATTCTCATTTTTTTAAAAATTTCTTGGAAATTTTCCAAAGTCCCAAATTATTTAAAGTAATGAAAACGGAAAAGAAGAGGAAAAAAGAAAAACAAAATTTAAAAAACAGGCCGCCCGGACGTGGGTTGGCCCAAATGATGTGTTGCGTCTTCTACCAGTGCGCAGAGCGCAGTACACGTTCCAACGCGCAAACCCAAAGTGTCTGCACGTGTCTGTTTGGTTCGAAATGGATACAAATGATGGCCCAATGTACCGACCCAAGCGGACAAGCATTTTTTTTTGTCCATGCACAACCTTCTTCATTCCCAAATTTGAGCCTAATTTGCGCCGGCGCGGACACGGAGCAAACTTGCGCACGCCCGCCCTTGTCCTCCCCATGTGGCAGATTCATCCCCGTTTTCCTCCCATTCCCAAAACCCTCTCGCTCGCTCGCTCGATCTCCCGCCCTCTCGCCATAGCAGAAGCGTTCAACCCCGCCGCCACCGGCCTCGCCTCCACCGTCAACAAGCCCTGCGCTGCAGACCAAGAAGAAGGAGCTGACAGACACACTATGGGGCGCTCAGTCAGCAAGTAGGGCTGGCCTAAGGAAGGTGCGGGCCGACAAGGCGGGAGCTTGGACGCCGTCGCCCTACACGAGGCCTACATTATGGAGAACAAGGCCCTTGACGTTGCGGCCATGCCGCATGCCCTCCTCTACCTAGGGTTCGACAACGGCCTAGCGCAACATGGCCTCGTCACTGCCCCCATGGCCGCAGCCAGCACGGGATCGTCGGTGGTCCACCCGCCACGGGGTGAGTCGCCGCGCACATCCACCACATCGCAGACGCCCCGCTTCCATCACCAACCTCAAGCCACCCGTTTTATCTACCTCTCCTGCGGACTGCTCACCAGAGCATGAACTTTGGGGTTTATTTGTAGGTCTGGCATGGGCGCGGG